GGGGGCTAGGAGCAGAAAACGCGTGGCAAAAACAGACGGGCAGATCGGGCGGGTAGACCCTAACGGGCGGGTCGGGAAGACGGGCCCAGGCGACCAGGTCGAGCAGGCCGCTTGCTGAAGCGTGTGTCCTGCATTAATCGCGGCGAAAACTCGAGCGACAGCGCGATTCCTAAGTGAACCGTGAGAAGAGCCAAAGCGAGACCGTGATGTCTGGGTGTCGAGGGCGCGGCGTCTGAGTAAGTTGCGAGAAGTCCCACGCGAGGGCGCGATTCGTATACAAATTGTGAGAGAGTCCCGCGCGAGAGCCCGATGTGCGAATCAATTGTGAGGAAGTATCAGGCGGGAGCCGCTGTTGTTGTAAACCGGGAGCCAACAACGAAGTTTGAGCCCCGTGACTTTCCCTGATTGAGAACAGGGTGCGAGCCCAGGGGAAGCATTTCAATTGAAATTACCCTGTGACGTGCCCAACCCTTTCTATACATGTGGCGATGATAGTCAGGACCACTCAATGCTGAATGGCAGTCTGGAGGACCCGCAGTGCGCAAGAAGAGCACCCAGCAGTGACTTCAGAAGGGCGCAGCAAGAAAAGGAACGGCAAATATACAAAATGGAAACACAGGGCGTTGAAAAAAACGCGTATGACGTACCTCCGAGTGATCTACGTGGGACGTACCTCCGCTGGGCCTCCCAGGAGCCCACGAAGGTGGCGAGAATTGCGCAGATCGCAAGCCCCCCAGGGGGCGGCGAGGTCCCGAGGTGATCCGCGTGGGACCCACCTCCGCTGGGCCTCCCAGGAGCCCACGAAAGCGGCAACACTTGCGAATGTCGCAAGTCTTCCAGGGGAGGCGAGGTCCCGAGGTGATTCGCGTGGGACCCACCTCCGCTGGGCCTCCCAGGAGCCCACGAAAGCGGCAACACTTGCGAATGTCGCAAGCCCCCAAGGGGGCGGCGAGGTCCCGAGGTGATCCGCGTGGGACGTACCTCGCTGGGCCTCCCAGGAGCCCACGAAAGTGGCGACCATTGCGCAGATCGCAAGCCCCCCAGGGGGCGGCGAGGTCCCGAAGTGATCCGCGTTGGACCCACCTCCGATGGGCCTCCCAGGAGCCCACGACAGTAGCAACAGTTGCACAGATCGCAAGCCCCCCAAGGGGCGGCGAGGTCCCGAGGTGATCCGCGTGGGACGTACCTCCGCTGGGCCTCCCAGGAGCCCACGAAAGTGGCGACAGTTGCGCAGATCATACGCCCCCCAGGGGGCGGCGAGGTCCCGAGGTGATCCGCGTGGGACGTACCTCCGCTGGGCCTCCCAGGAGCCCACGAAAGTGACGAAAGTTGCGCAGATCGCAGCCCCCAAGGCACCGCGAGGTCCCGAGGTGGTCCGCGTGGGACGTACCTCCGCTGGGCCTCCCAAGGAGCCCACGAAAGTGGCGACCATTGCGCAGACCGCAGCCCCCAAGGCACCGCGAGGTCCCGAGGTGATCCGCGTGGGACGTACCTCCGCTGGGCCTCCCAGGAGCCCACGGAAAGTGGGACAGTTGCGCAGATCGCAGCCCCCAGGGCACCGCGAGGTCCCGAGGTGATCCGCGTGGGACGTACCTCCGCTGGGCCTCCCAGGAGCCCACGAAAGTGGCGACAGTTGCGCAGATCGCAGCCCCCAGGGCACCGCGAGGTCCCGAGGTGATCCGCGTGGGACGTACCTCCGCTGGGCCTCCCAGGAACCCACGAACGTGGCGACAATTGCGCAGATCGCAGCCCCCAGGGCACCGCGAGGTCCCGAGGTGATCCGTGTGGGACGTACCTCCGCTGGGCCTCCCAGGAGCCCACGAAAGTGGCGACCATTGCGCAGATCGCAGCCCCCAGGGCACCGCGAGGTCCCGAGGTGATCCGCGTGGGACGTACCTCCGCGTGGCCTCCCAGGAGCCCACGAAAGTGGCGACCATTGCGCAGATCGCAGCCCCCAGGGCACCGCGAGGTCCTGAGGTGATCCGCGTGGGACGTACCTCCGCTGAGCCTCCCAGGAGCCCACGAAAATGGCGACCATTGCGCAGATCGCAGCCCCCAGGGCACCGCGAGGTCCTGAGGTGATCCGCGTGGGACGTACCTCCGCTGGGCCTCCCAGGAGACCACGAAAGTGGCGACAGTTGCGCAGATCGCAGCCCCGAGGGCACCGCGAGGTCCCGAGGTGATCCGCGTGGGACGTACCTCCGCTGGGCCTCCCAAGGAGACCACGAAAGTGGCGACAATTGTGCAGATCGCAGCCCCCAAGGCACCGCGAGGTCCCGAGGTGATCCGCGTGGGACATCCTTCCGCTGGGCCCCTCAGGAGCCCACGAAAGTGGCGACAGTTGCGCAGATCGCAGCCCCCAGGGCACCGCGAGGTCCCGAGGTGATCCGCGTGGGACGTACCTCCGCTGGGCCTCCCAAGAACCCACGAAAATGGCGAGAATTGCGCAGATCGCAGCCCCCAGGGCACCGCGAGGTCCCGAGGTGATCCGCGTGGGACGTACCTCCGCTGGGCCTCCCAGGAGCCCACGAAAGTGGCGACAGTGGCGCAGATCGCAGCCCCCAGGGCACCGCGAGGTCCCGAGGTGATCCGCGTGGGACGTACCTCCGCTGGGCCTCTGAGGAGCCCACGAAAGTGGCGACAGTTGCGCAGATCGCAGCCCGACTCAGGAGAGGAGGAGGGGAGGAGGGGGGAGGAGAAGAAGGAGGCCGGGGCGACCACACTGCTCTATTCAAAACGAGTACCCAACCATAAGAGGGTTGGGAAACATACAATGGTCAGCGGAGGGGGATCAGCCATACTTGTTTTTCAGCCATGAAGGTTCAACAACAACAACAACAACAACAACAACAACAACAACAACAGCAACAACAACAACAACAACAGCAGCAGCAGCAGCAACAACAACAACAACAACAGACGACAACCACAACAACCACGACGACGACGACAACAACAACCACAACAACAGCAGCAGCAACAACAGCAGAAACAAACGATGAAAGACTGTTTGCTCTTATCTGCTCGCGTGCCATTTAACACGTAAATCCCAAACCCTGAATGGCCGCCCTCTCCGTCTTTGATCGTACCCAGTTGGGGTGTATCCTTCTAACCTGCGATGTGTATTTAGTGCAGCTCCTAAGGCAGAGGAAGGGGGGACAGATGGAAGGAAGGGACAAGGGGGAGGGAGGAGGATGGAGCACGAGAGAGCGCAGCAGGAGGGGGCTAGGAGCAGAAAACGCGTGGCAGAAACCGACGGGCAGATCGGGCGGGTAGACCCTAACGGGCGGGTCGGCAAGGCGGGCCCAGGCGGCCAGGTCGAGCAGGTGCGTTGCTGAAGCGTGCGTCCTGCATTAATCGCGGCGAAGTCTCGAGCGGTAGCGCGATTCCCAAGTGAATCGTGAGAAGAGCCAAAGCGAGAGCGTGATGCCTGAGTGTCGAGGGTGCGGCGTCTGAATCAGTTGTGGAGAAGTCTCACGCGAGAGCGCGATTCCTGCATAAAGTGTGAGGACGTCCCGCGCGAGAGCGCGATATGTATCAGGCGGGAGCCGCTGTTGCTGTAAACGGGGGGCCAGGGGCGCAGTTTGATGACCCCTCATTTTTTCTTGTAAAAAAAAACCGCGTGCGAGACACGGGATAAGCACTTGAGTTGAACAAGCAAAAAATTACCGGAGGGGGGATCAACTAACATATAATTTGAAAATGAAGATGCCACGACTCCAGCAACAACAACAACAACAACACCAACAACAACAAGCAATTTAACACTGTTCGCTCCTGTCTGCTTGCGTGCCGTTTAACACGTGTATCCCAAACCCTCGATACCCGTATAAATATTTCTTACCTGCACCGTGTATTTCGTGCAGCCCCTAATGCAGGGGAAGCGATGACGGATGGAAGGAAGGGACAGGCGGGAGGAAGAAGGATGGAGCACGAGAGAGCGCAGCAGGAGGGGGCTAGGAGCAGAAAACGCGTGGCAGAAACCGACGGGCAGATCGGGCGGGTAGACCCTAATGGGCGGGTCGGCAAGGCGGGCCCAGGCGGCCAGGTCGAGCAGGTGTGTTGCTGAAGCGTGCGTCCTGCATTAATCGCGACGAAGTCTCAAGTCATAGCGCTATTCCCAAATAAATCGTGAAGAAATCCAAAGCGAGAGCGTGATGCCTGAGTGTCGAGGGCGCGGCGTCTGAATCAGTTGTGCAGAAGTCCCACGCGAAAGCGCGATTCTTCTATGAAGTGTGAGGGCTTCCCGCGCGAGAGCGCGAATTTGGAATACAATGTGAGGAAATATCCGGCGGGAGCCGTTGTTGTTGTAGTTCGGGGGCCACCAGTGCAGTTTGGTGACCCCTCGCTTTCCCCTGTAAAGAATCAGTTGCGAGCCACGGTAGAAGCACCTTCACTGAACAAATGATTACCGGAGGGGGGATCAACACTATTCAACGGCAACAACAAAAACGACAACAACAACAAAAAGAACAATTACAATAATAAGAATAACAACAACAAGAGCGACAACAGCAACAACAACAACAACAACAACAACAACAACAACAATACCAACAACAACAATCATGTTCAGACTGTCGCTCCTGTCTATCTTGCGTGCCATTCCGCACGTATATCCCAAACACTCGATACCCGCCCTCTTCGTCTTCGATCATAACCCCCTGGGGGCCAACAGCAATTATGCACCGAACATGAGAATTCAACAACAACAACAACAGCAACAGCATCAACCACAACCACAACAGCAGTAACAACAACAATAACTACAATACCAACAACATCAACAACAACATCAAACAACAACAGTCATACCAACAGCAATAACAACAACAATAACAACAACAACAATAACAACAACAACAACAACAACAACAACAACAACAACAACAACAACAACAACACCAACAACAACACCAACAACAACAACAACAACACCAACATTGACAACAACGACAACAACGACGGCGACAGCAGCGAGGCGGGGGGGGCGCGGCCGCCTGGGGCAGCCCGTCGGGGGCTCCCAGCAGGCGCTCCGCCATCCGCTGGCAGATCGCCTCGCCGCGCCCGCCGGGCTCGCGGGGCACCTCTGGGGTTAGGTCGGGCATGCCCTCCTGCAGGCGGACTTTGGACGACAAATGAAGAATAGCTCAAACATGCCCCCAGACAAATAGACGAGCATGGTCGAAAAATCGTCCCCAGGCTATTGTTGGACGATGCGCGAGTGTTCCTCCTGTAGAGGGACATGCCGGACTTACCACTTGGGGGGGAAAGCAGGGCGCCCCAGAGAAACAGCAGCAGGCTCAGGCAACCCCAGACACAGAAGAAAAAACAGCATAAACATATGTAAACTTTTGGACGTCCGCGCGGATTTCTGGGATCTGCGCTGGACCCCCTCCCAGGCGCGCGGAGCGCGCCAGGGGCGGCGCCGGGGGAGCCACTGGGGCGTCCAGCGCAAATCTAAGAAACCCGCGCGGAGCGCCAAAACTTTCTGTTTGTGTCGTTTTCTCTTCTTCGAAGACATGCTCGCGTCGTGGGGGAAAAAACGGAGGAAGGCTTCTGGCCGTCTTCGGCTCCTGGCTCGCCCGGCCCTGGAACAGTCAAGGGTCGGGAATTCCAGGGAATCCATGTCAAAAGTCACCCTGGCGAAGAGTCCAACCCATTCTGTGGGCATTGAAACGACCAACATGACCGCTCAATGCGCCGAGATGGGGCGGGTACCCATGTGAACCCTGCCACTGAGGCCCTTGGTGGGGCTCCGTGTGATGACCGTGGGGGTTTCTAAGTGGACAGGGAGGTTACAAGTGGATGCCAAGGTGGGTTATATCTGGCCCAACCTGGCTTATAAGTGGATTACAAGTTCCACGAGTGGCTTAGGGGGTTTAAATAACTCCGCTAAGTGGGCGGAGCCCTAAGATACTTGGGGCGCTTGTAACCCATTTATAAGCCAGGGTGGGCCAGATATAACCAACCTTTGCATCCACTTGTAACCCATCTATCCATTTTGAAACCCCGGCGGTCATCCCAGTATGGGGCCACGAAACGTTTGAGGGGTCTGCAGAAATGGGGCGGCTACCCATGTGAACCTTGTCACTGAAGCCCCCAGTGGAGCCCCCATATGAAGCCACGAAACGTGTGAGGAGTCCGCAGAAATGGGGCGGGTTACCCATGTGAACCTTGTCACTGGAGCCTTCAGTGGAGCCCTCATATGAAGCCACGAAACGTGTGAGTGGTCTGCCAAACGGAGCGGGTACATATGTGAACCCTGCCACTGGGGCCCTCGGTGGAGCCCCCTTTGAAGTAGATGGTGAGTACGGAACAGTCGAATAGATGGTGACGTCCTCTGTCAGGCGGCATTGCGGACCAATGCACGCGATATCCGGCGGGTGCGCTGGGGAGAACAGATGCTGGCCACGCGCCCTGCGCACCTGGGCACGCCGCACATGCTGGTGCTGTCCCGACGCACTGTGTAGAACAGGGGCATCTTGAGAAGTCATGCCACAAGGGCAGTAGTGGGCAGATGTGTCGCAGAGATTGAACTTCGAGTGCGGTACCCTGGGATTCCAGTAGGTCCCCAGAGCCCTCTAGAAAGCATATACGCATGTGTGAATGTTACGCATACGTGCACATGTGTCGATGGTTGCATGTCATGTCGATTCGGCTATGCCCGAAAAGCTGCAATACCTCGACTGTGTTAGCCTGTCCTGGAACTTACTGCATACACAGATGTAAACAGATCGGCATGTGTATACTTATAGCTACCGCATAGTCCACCCTTCGGGTGATAAGGAGGCGAGGGGGGGGAACCACCGTCGCACTCGATCGATCTCACTATCGATCTCGCTATCGATCTCATTATCGATCTCATTCGATCAATCTCACAATCGATCTGGCTATCGATCTCACACTCGATCTCACTAACGATCTCACTATCGATATCAAAATCGATCTCAGAATAGATCTCACAATCGATCTGGCTATCGATCTCACGATCGATCTCACATTCGGTCTCACGGTCGATCTCACTACCGATATCACTATCGATCTCATTCGATCGATCTCACAATCGATCTCACATTCGGTCTCACTATCGATCTCACTATCGATATCACAATCGATCTCACAATCGATCTCACAATCGATCTGATCTCACTATCGAACTCACTATCGAAGTCATGATCGACCTCTCGTTCGATCTCACTATCGATCCCACTATCGATATCACAATCAATATCACAATCGATCTCACATTCGGTCTCACTATCGATCTCACTATCGAACTCACTATCGATCTCACTATCGATCTCACATTGGGTCTCACTATCGACCTCACTATCGATATCACAATCGATCTCACGATCGATCTCCCATTCGGTCTCACTATCGATCTCACTACCGAATTCACCATCATCACCACCATCATCATCACCATCATCATCATCGTTGTCAACATCATCATCATCGTCATCATCATCATCACCGACGGGACACCGACGGGACACCGGCGGGACACCGCGGGGCCCCAGCCGCCCGGAAGGGAGACATTTGGTCTGGCCGCGCCTCAGCCACACGGGACACCAGCGGGACACCGGCGGGACACCGCGGGCCCCCGGCCGCCCGGAAGGGAGACATTTGGTCCGGCCGCGCCTCAGCCACAGGAGACTTTCTTCTCGCCCGCCCACGCAGCTTCGCCTCGCCCGCACGCACGGCACGCACGAACACGGAACCGAAATCGATTTCCCGGTAGGGGGGCTCTCCGTTCCACTTCGATCTCACCCCCTCACCTCCGATATATATATATATATATATATATATGTACACATAGTTGTACATGTGTAAATATGTGTACAAATATAAATATATGTATATATAGTTATATACGTGTTTCTGCAACTGCTGCCAGACCAGTCTCTCAGGATGCAAATTACAATGCTAGGGTGGGGGAAAAGGGGAGCAGGGCTTCTCGTTCTCCTGGCCTCATATTCCTCTCCTCCTCCTCATCCTCCTCCTCCTTCTCATCATCATCATCATCAGCATCATCATCATCATCATCATCATCATCATCAGCATCATCATCATCATCATCATCATCATCATCATCATCATCAACATCAGCATCAACATCAGCATCAGCATCACCAGCATCATCGTCAGCAGCAACGCATCATCCTTACCATCATCATCCTTCTGCCGGCATCCTGCTCCTCTTTGTCCTCCTCTTCCTCCTCCTCCTGCTCCTCCTGCTCCTCCTGCTCCTCCTTCCCCTCCTCCTCCTCCTCCTCCTCCTCCTCCTCCTCCTCCTCCTCGTCCTCCTCCTCCTCCTCCTCCTCCTCCTCAATCCCCTCCTCTTCCTCCTCCTCCTCCTCCTCCTCCTCCTCCTCCTGCTCCTCCTCCTCCTTCCCCGCTTCCGCCTCCTCCTCCTCGCCCTGGACGGCGGCAAACTTACATGTTCACCTACCGTGGCCAGGCCCGATCAAGACGTATACCTCTCGCTGACCAGCCCAGCCCAGACGCCCAGCGCTCCGACTCCTTCGATGCGAGGGCCCCAGAGCCCCAGAGCTCTCGGCCCCTTCCCCAAGCCGTTCCGCTGACGGCCCCGAGGCCCGAAGCCGTTCCGCTGACGGCCCCGAGGCCCGAAGCCGGCACCCAGACCAGACATTCAGCAACCGTGCAAGACGGGCCGCTCCGCCCCTCGCTCGAGACGCGCTGGACGTCTGCAAACCTCAGGACGAAGCCAGGACCTGGACTCTCTTGATCTGCGGGGCGAGAGCGAACCTCCTCCGCTAAAAGCTGGGCGGGCTACGCACAGCTTTGACTAGGGAGACAGGCCCTGGAAACGACAGGGCCGTTTTGTTACCGGTTCCGTTTTGCCGTTTTTTTGCCGGTTCCGACGCCGTTTTTGTACCGGTTCCGTCGCCGTTTTTTGACCGGTTCCGGCTCCGGTTCCAGTCCTGGAGCCGTTTTTTTGCCGTTTCCGGTCGCCGTTTTTTTGCCGTCTCCATTTTCAAGGGACATTTTTTTGGAAACGGTGAAAAATCGGCCCTGCTTCCGGGGCCCACAAAGGACAGGACACAGAAAGGCGGGGCCTCACCGGGACCCGGACAGACCCGGCACGGGACAGCGAGAGCCGCCGGCTCTGCTGGGCGTGCTGGGCGCCGCCCGCGGCGGCTCGGGAGAGCGCTCCGGGGCGGTCTGGGAGCGCCGCGGGACGCTCTGGAGCGGTCCATCCCGAGCCTGGCCCCGCCCGCAAGCAGGGCCGGACCTGAACGTCGTGTTTCGTGTTGTGCTCGTGCTGTTGTTCGCTCTGGCTCTGTGCACCCCCCCGGCCAGAGCGAGCCACAAGACACGGCCCGAGTCCAGCAGAACGGCGTTTGGAACCAGCCCTGCCCGCAATGTCTGACTACCTACCAGACCACCCCAACCCAACCCGAAGACCCGAATTTCGGGTTGGGGGGGTACGGGTTCCACACGTGTTTTTCCCATGGTTTCCGACCCCCCCCCGCCGGAAATGGAGGGCAAATGAGGCCTTCGGGTTGGGTTGGGGTGGTTTGGTCGGTGGTGAATGTCCGCACCATCGCTCCGGACGCCCGAAAGTGGCACGGAAAAAATGGATACGATGCCCAACAGCAAATGTGGCCCGAAACCGACAGCGGCCGCTGTTGGGCAGGCGGCCTTGTCTCGAATGGGCATCGCCCGCAGCGACACTGACAGCGAGCCCTGCTCAAAGTGGACGAGAATTGGGGTTGGACTTTGTACCCATGGCTCCCGTGCCCATTTCGATCGTACCGACTCACCCCTGGTGCACCATCGCCAGAGTCTTGAAGCCAGTCGCGTCCTTGGCGAACAGGGCGACCGCGGCGTCGCAGCCGCGCTCCTTGGCGACGCGAACACGGGGGCAGGAAGAGGAGGGAAGGCTCCTTAGAAGGAGGCTGCTTCTGAGAAGGCGCTGGCCCTGTATCTATAGATCAGGCCCGCGCCTTCTCAGAAGCAGGGGTGCTTCAGAGAGGCCCTCCCCCCTCCCCCTACCCTGAGATCCGACGTTGCGAAAAATGCAAGCTGGCAAACAATTACGACCAGAGCCCCGGACCCCATTCTTCTGCGTCGTTCTTCGAGCCCGTTCGATTTGTGAGGGTCCCAGGGCCCGAAAGGGGGCGAGAACCCCCGGCGTGACTAAACTGCAGCGCCAGGATCGAAGAGTACCCCCCGCTGCGCGCGGCTGAACTCCGCAGCGAAGGCGCGCATCTCCGCCTCCAGCGCGGCGGCCCCTCCGGCCTTGGCGCACACGCTGTCGACCGCGTCGAAAACGGCGCACCAGGCGACGCGCGCACCCTCTCCTCGGGGGAGCTGCTCTCGAGGGCCGAAGCTTGATTGGCATTCTGGGACTCCCTCTCCTACTCCTCCTCCTCCTCCTCCTCCTCCTCCTCCTCCTCCTCCTCCTCCTCCTCCTCCTCCTCCTCCTCCTCCTCCTCCTCCTCCTCCTCCTCTTCTCCTCCCGTATCCTCCTCCTCCTCCTCCTCCTCCTCCTCTCTCCTCCTCCTCCTGCTCCTCCTCCTCCCCTCCTCTCCTCTCCTCCTGCTCCTCCTCCTCCTCCTCCTCCCTCCTCTCCTCCTCCTCCTCCTCCTCTCCTCCTCCTCCTCTTGCTCCTCCTCCTCCTCCTCCTCCTCCCCATCGTCATCCTCCTTCTCCTCCTCCTCCTCCTCCTCCTCCTCCTCCTCCTCATGTGTCTCCGCCTCCTCCTCCTCCGCCGCGCGCATTTGTTTTCAACAGTTGCAAAGAGTTTCACTGATTCCCATGGTCAACATGCCAAGAATTCTCTTTTGGAACGAGTCAGGACTGTCAGGGCGCAGTGGTTACGTTGATTCGCGGAGTTGAAGTCCCAGGAATGGTATTCTGGCATGGTTCAAGATCGCCAAGACATAACACAGTCAGGTGAACTCGTGGCGTTGAAGTCTTGAGAATGGTGTTCTGGCACGCTTCAAGATGTTCAGACGGTTGCCCCCGAACGGGGCAATTCCCTGTGGGAATGACCCAATGTACAGGTCTATGAAGAGGGATCTTGGAGGGAGGGTGGAGGGTGGATTTTAACATCGCAGATGAGTCTTGGGTTTGCACTCCTCCTCTTCCTTCTACCTCCTCCTCCTCCTCCTCCTCCTCCTCCTCCTGCGCTCGTACTCAACACCAGTTCGTCCTAACCACTGCCACCGCTACCACCGTCGCAACCCCCAGGCCTTGCTGTGCGCGATGCAGTCCTCGCCGAGCTCGCAGGGCCAGGCCTGCTGCTGGAACTGCTGGGGCGGGGCTGATCGGGCTCCAGGGTGCGATGCAAAGACACTCGGAGTTGGGGGAGCAGACCTAAGGCGTCACTTTCACTAAGAGGGTTCGGGAGATGCGAAGCGAGAGTAAATAAATAAACATAGGCAACCACACACAACATAATGTAGGGGGAAGGACGCCAAAACGAGTAAGGGTGTCGTCGGGGGGCGGGTGGCTTCTAATTCCAACTACCAGAGCACTGCACTTAGGGCAATTTAAATAATGCGATTGTTCATCGGGCGCATCTTCACAGCCAAACATACAGCGACGGGACACCTGCTGAAAGCGGCGATCCGTGGTCCACGACCCCGAAAGGGTCTTAATAATTGCATTCCTCCATGCTGGAGGGGACCGAAGAGTGGCAGCGTGGACCCCCGCCCACTCTATCTGGGCAAAGTCTGCGTCTTCGAGCTCGGGGAAAAGGCGGGGGAGGCGAGCGCGGAAGGTCGAGACGAGGTCGGGGGGGAACAAGGGCGCCCTGAGCGCTGCACTCGCAGCAGCCTGAACCGTTTTCTTCTCACGCAAAGCAGTTCGAGCATTCTGTGCCGCTAGCGCACCAGCGCCAGCATACAAAGGAAAATTATGGAAGCTATGCGCCGCTTCATGCATACTGACCACGATCGGAGGCTCCTCCCAAAATTTGGGAGATCGGCGACGCTCTAAAACGTCCTGCAAACTGAGATAAACCTCGGCATCCGAAAGCTTATCATAACTTAGTCGCCATTCGGGCAGCGTGCTTAATGCCGCTCGAATTCGCGGCGCTAAGCTGAGAACCAGCGCCGAGCGGAGATGAGGCCCACCCCAACTCGCCATCGAAAAGAACGCCTGGCGCGACAGAGAGCAGTGGGGCATCTTAAATAAGGCCGCAAAGAGGGCATGTTCACGAGCAAGCACTTGCTTGGGGAGCGGGCAAAACTGAGCGACGTACCCCAAACAGGATAAGGCCCTAGAGTCGTATTGCGCCGCAGCAATCGACGAGGGCGCCCCACTCTTCGCAATGGCCTTCGCACGCGAGATCCATTTCTTAACAGGTCCATCCCACGAGGACGGCTGGGCAGGCGGCCCGAGATATAAACCAAGATACATAAGCTTCGAGACAATTTGAAATCCCGCCCAGTCGGGCAGGCTGCGCTCGAGCCAGGTTCTGTATTCCTGCTCGAGCTCGGGGGGGAACCGTCCAGAAAGTGGGACTACCTTACATTTACATACCTTAAGTTCCCAGTGAGCCACCCGCCTCGAAGCCCGAAAGACAGTATGTAGTTACCGTAACACTTCGATTATATATATAACACGACCTACCTCATCTGCACATAAACGAGATATACCTAAGTTGTTGGCCTCAATCAGTTGATCTAGATGCACTGCGAACGGGTGGGAGGCGACCGCGTAGAGAGTTCCTCTTGCTGGACAGCCTTGGACGATCCCTGACTCGATCATGTGCATAAAGAAAAGAGCATCCCCTGCCTGTCCAAAACAGGAGACCTGAGTGTATACCATTTCCAGAAATTCCAGAAGCGGCACTGGATGTTGAAGTTGCCGAAGGACCAGGAAAACCCAGAACTGCGAAATCGAGGGGAACGCCTGTCCAGAATCGAACGATGCCAGGATCGGACGACGAAGTTGGGCCTCAGGTTCTGAACTCGCGATCCGAGCCTGCGCGTCGAGTTCGATGATGTTCACGCCGAAGTTCCTGGACGGAACAAAGCCCCTCTGGGAGCTATGCACAAGCCTCGGGAGGGACCGCGTCAGCGGCTTCACACAAACCGACGTCGTGATTTTCGAATCCGTGTTTTTGAGACCAAGTGGTCGTGTACTCGACGCCTCCCGGATCATCTGTAGGTGGTCGTCGGGCTCGCCGCCCTTCGCGATGAACACCCCTTTTACAATATTCAAACTTACCGAACAATAATGCCTTGCCTTCGAGCGACCAAGCTAGAGCCTGATACCAGATGTGGGAACCTTTGGGGTGGAATCTCCAGGCAGCATATGGGAGCTGGTCAGGACCTGGGGCACTCTGTGGGACCTTATTCAAGCACCTCTGGATGTCAAGCTCGGTCGGGGGCGGCAGATCTGACAGGTTCACGTCAGGCTTGAAACGATTTACATAATGAAGAGCTGCAGCACGATCAACTTCATTACGGGCGAAGACTCCTCCCCAGTACTCTGAGAGTCCACTCATCATGCCCTCAGGATCGGCACGAACTATCGGCGCCGAACTGGGACCCTGGGACACACGAGTGCCTTGCAAAGGCATTTTCCTATTGAACGGGGACCACAGCTTACATCGGACCTGCAAGCTCTTAAGCCTTTTCCTCAACTTACGGCGCACCGATTCGCGGGTATCTTCCTGCTGCAGCTGACGCCTAGCCTCGGCCTGGGCCTGGGCGAACATGGCCATGTGCGCCTCGTCGGAGGCGGCTTGAAACGCATTGGGGTCGCTGAGGCTGACGGTCCGCTCGAGCGGGTCCGTGATCAAAAACTGCTCCCCGAACGGGTGCGAGAGCCGAATCTTCTCCGCAAGCTGAATATCCTGAGACCAGAGAGTACGAGCAATCGTACGACACGCGATGTACCTGGAGAGCGGGTCTGTCGGCCTGCCCCGAAGAATACGATCTCGAGCGAAACGAGCTGTTTCGATCATCATCTCCTTATGAAAGGCGAGAAGAAGAGGAGGAGAGAGATCATCATCTTCAGCAAGCGGGGTAACCTTCTCTAGAAACTGCTGATACTCTGGGCGCCGAAAAATCTCCTGATGGATGCTGCGCTCCTGCTGGCTCTTCGGCTTCCGCGGTCCGAACGTGGCGCTGACGCCGGCGTGGTCCGAGACCCTCGTGGCACTCAAGATCTCCGGGTACCCGTGGACTCGAGCGCCAGAACACATCTGAGTGATGCACCATCCAGGTGCCGACAGAAAAAGCCTATCAATCTTGCTGACAGTTCCCTGCGCTTTGCAGTGATGAGTGTGTTGGGAAGTCTCGGTTTCAACCATCTTCTTCAAAACAACCTTACAGTGTCCCGAAGGTCTAAAAGCCGACGAAGTTGGGGAAGCAGGAGGGGGGTCATACGAGTTTAGCGCTTGGGGGAGCTCGTCAGCAAAGTTGAAGTCGCCACCTACGAACACGAAGACCTGCATGGGGTCCTGGGAGGCTGTATCTAAGTCCTCGGAGATCTTACCTATGACCCCGTTCCGCTCCAAAGCCGTCAACCCGTGATTGTGAATGTTGTAGTGGGAGACCTGAACACCTCCTGGGAACAAAACACGAACATTCAACGCACGGCTCTGTACTAGAGTTCTAGCAGAAACTGAAGGTCTACGTTCCTCAGAATGGGTCGTGGAGAACAGAGGGAGGAAGGTGACCACGCCACCAGCAGCATTCTCGCCGTGCTCTAGGAACGACGCAAACGCCTCGACGGGCATGTGGAGGTGGAAGAGGAAATCCCTGAGCTCAGCGAGGGTCCCGTGGGTCTCCTGGAGACCTAGAATCATCCCCTTGCCCAGGAGCTTTTTGAGGTACCTGAACTTCTTCGTCCGAATTCGAAATTTGTGGTGGAATAAAGCCTGACCATTCCACGTCCCCACTGAGATCGGAGAAGGAGCTACATCACTGCCGCTTCACGCGGCAAAGAGCGGGTTAAACACGCCACTCAACTGGCGCTGGGGTCGGGGTGGGGTTCTCCAGCTTCTCGCTGACGGCCTCGCGGTCGATCCCGAAGAACGCGAGGTTGGCTTCGGCAAACTCGAAGATGGACTTGGATCCAACACCTGCCGTCGGAGTAACTCGCACCAGTGGCTTCCATTGCGTGGATACTTCTCCAAGCTGCTTATTGTTTGCTCCTCCTCCTCCTCCTCCTCCTCCTCCTACTCCTCCTCCTCCTCCTCCTCCTCCTCCTCCTCCTCCTCCTCCTCCTCCTCCTCCTCCTCCTCCTCCTCCTCCTCCTCCTCGCTCTCCTCCTCCTCCTCCTCCGCTTCCTCTCCTCCTCCTCCTCCTCCTCCTCCTCCTCCTCCCTCCTCCTCCTCCTC